TAGTTCTAGGCTTAGAGGACCTGTGTTTCTACTTTGCTAATTAGGGGTTAAACTTGATGTCGTATTCACCCAGACCAAGCCATATGAGCTGTCTGTCCTCAGAGTAAGAATAAGTATACTGTTACCAAGGGTTGCATTTGTGACATTGGCCTTCCCAAGAATCAGTCTTGGAAACATGATGTTTTCTGTTCTTTGGCTAAGATTGTTCATCGGCCTAGTCATACAAGTGACTGGCTCTTTAAAGCAGAACCTTTCCATTACAGTCACGGATGTTTCTTCTTCCTACCTCATTCTTTCACCAGTCACGCCAAAGTTATCACACACTACATTGCAATCCAAACATTCTGGTTTTAGTGAGAATGCATAAATTATTTTGATTTGTGATTGCTGTGGACTCTGAAAGCTTGTCCTGTGCTCATTCCACAGAAATCATTCTTAGAGACACTGCATGTTACATATGGTTTGGAAGGTCAACTTTGTAGGTGGCTTCAGAGCTGAGTGATTCTCATCAATACTGAGGACCAAATCAAGCAAAATCAAACACAGAAGAACCACCACCAGCCTGACCACATTCAGCTACATCCCACTGCTAATATCAAGTTGATAGACTTTTAGTCCTGGAATGTAAAGAACCCAACCCAAGCCAAAACAAAACTGAGAACCAACTACCACCCTAAATCTAATGAGACTTTATCTGTCTTTGGTTTTTTTTCTTCCTGGGATATAATAAATTAAACATAGTATGAAATGCAAAAAGGTTACATTGAGACATATAATATTTGAAGGTTTAATTCATTTTTCTAGTGTATAAGACACAAGGCTATTAAATTTTTAAAGCAGTGATCTCCTGAAGTCCCTACTTTATGAGGGCTTTCTTCATAAAGATAAATGGTTTCCTTGCCAAATCAAATGCAGATTTGAAACAAATTAAGTTAATGTTCAACGGTACAAGGTAGAATGGATGGGGGAACTGTTTTATTTTGCATTGTAATAACCATATACACCTAAATCAATAGCTGTGGAAAAAAAAGGCAATAATATCACGTAACTGCAGGAAATGAAATATAGTGAGATGAAGGGGGGAGCGGGTTGCAGAATGAAAGGATTTGTATTGGAATAATGACATTTCATTAAAAAGGGAAGGAGTGCTATTGAATATAAGTCCATACCAGTAAATTCTATTTCTTATAATAACACTTGAGATGAGTTAAAGTTGCCCAAGTATTGTGATAGAGCATCTCGCTGAATTCCTTTCTCATATTATGCTGTAATTTTATGTTAAAAGAAAAATTTGAAATGTTAAAGAGGCAGTGCATGTTTTCTAAAGTGCTTTCTATTCCTCCTAATGTTTCATTTAACTTGTATATTATCCTGTGCTCCTGCAGTCTGAGCAAGAGGGAGTTTATCAGTTTTGGTCTTCTGTGAGCTTCCATTAAGGAAACAAAACAAAATGTGAATTCGACACTGGTGAAAGGTGTTGATTGAGAGTGCTGGGGATTAAAGCTCTCTTGTTATCCAAGGCACAGGGTTGGGCTGGTGAGTAGCAATGCCAGCAAGCAGTAGAGCGAGTCCAAGCTCCCTGTAACATTGGAGGGTCAGATTCTCAGGAAGTGTAAATCAGCAGCTATTGAAGATACAGAAGTTAATACTTCAGAATGAGACTGTCTGCAATCTTTTTTTTCAAAGCATCTTGAAAAGGAATCCTGGTTCCCCCTGGAGTAAATGGCAAAGATCCCACTGTTTTCAGGGGGATAAGGATTTTGTCCTCTTTGTGTCACCTCTGGAATTTTGTTGAAAGAATCACCATATAAAATCATAGAACAGAATCATAGAATTGTGTTGGAAAGGGCTCTTAAAGGCCATCTAGTCCAACTGCCTCGCAATGTACAGTGACATCTACAGCTCCATCAGGTTGCTCACAGCCCGGTCCAGTCTGACCTTGAATGTCTTAAGGCACAGGACATCCACCACCTCTCTGGGCAATCTTTATTATAAATAGCTTTTTCCATATATCCAATCGAAATATCTTCACTTTTAGTTTGGAACCATTTCCCCTTGTCCTATCACAACAGACTCTAGAAGACAGGAAGCTACTCCATGTGTTTCGTGTCAGTCATTTCCCGTTTTGAGATTGCCCACGGATGGACCAGTCCCAAAGGCTGGGCAACTGAGAGATACATGTGACTACTGGAAGTCAAGATGAGACCACACTGTGAATGTCACCTATGTCAGATCTAGAGGAGCTCATTGGAGGGATATGTTCCTTTTGGTCTTTTGCATTAACTCGGGTGTCAGCGTGGGCATCGCTGCTGAACCTCTGCTGAGTGATCATCTGAAACATCACTTGCAGTACTAAAAAGAAAGGGAGATTGGCAGTGTCCTAATGCCTTTATTTCAGTTGTACCAGCATGGTTGGAACTTGAATGTCAGGCAGCTGCCTCAGAGCTTTTCCTTGCCATTCCTGTACAGTGTATGCAGGGCACACGAAGTGACCATAATCTCTTTCAGCAGTTTTTACACTGTCTTCTTTTGCAGACAATGTCATAAAAAACATTTAGCATAGAGCTAGACCTGTACTTGTGTATTAATGAAGACAGTTTTTGGAACTTAACTGTGACTTACTGACTTGCACACTGGTGGAAAGATAAGGAGTCCAAAACCAAGAGAACGTGGTACCTCTTAGTGTCAATCTCGTGCCATCATATCAAGACTTCTGTTACTTTTGATGTGTTTCTGGCAATTATAGAAATCCATTAATGCTTTACTTGGATTTCCTGTACTAATCAAATAAAATTATTTTGGTGAAAAATACACAAACATTCAGAAAACATTTGGATAAAACTTGGCTCATTAGAAATTGTGGCACCCTGTCTGCCCATCATAGAAGAGACATTTTTGTTCAGAGCTCATGGCTTAATTTCCTTTGAACAGACGTCTGAACGATCCCCTGTGTGCAGTTAAAGGATGAAACTTTTCCCCACATACATAGCTCTGCATCATTGTTCCCCCAATACAATTTGCATCTGTGTCATTGCTACTTATGCCCTGAGCAACCAACCAAGGAGCCATCCCTTTGTGCTGAGCCAGTGGGGGGCTTGCTTTGAATTATTTTTATACTCATAATGAGCTATGTACTTCACTTGTTGGTTCATTTGTTTTAATAGGGATGGGTCAAGCAAATTTCAGACCTCATTCAGTTTGAAGAGACTCATTGCTAAGAGCACTCTAAAATTATATATATGTGTACCTGAGGATGTCTGAATTCCTTAGCATGCTTCAAAACAAGATCCAAATATGAGCTCACTGAAGCAAATCTACTTTTCAGAACTCTATATTGTGAAATCAGTATCCATCTGTATCAGCAGGAGTTAGTATCATCATATCCTGAACGATCTAGGGTTCATCTGGATTCCTATTAATATATCTCACCTGAGAACATTGTGAGCTACAGTTTTCATGCAGATGTATTTGTTTCATAAGTTCATCAACATGTCGACAGGACACGGGGTGACTGGTAGCATCTGAGGATCTGGCTGTCTTTGATTCAGGCCATGAATGAAATGGGAACTCAGTGGAATTAAGTAGTCCTCTTAAATACGTTTTAAAAATGCTTTTTTTAAAAAAAAAAAAAAAGAAGAAAAAACAGGAAAAAAAGTTTACCCACACTCTCATGTAATGTGGCACTGGGAGTTTCATTTCACAATATGTACAACTAATCAACCTCTGATTTGTGCATTGCTATCATATTTTCTGGTTCTGTTTCTTCTGGATAGGACACCTGGCATATGATCCTTTAAGTTGCTTTTTAATTTTATTCCTCAAGCAATTAATTATTGTCATGTCCTAGAATCTGAGCTACTCTAAGCAACTGTTAGTGGATTTGTCATGTATGCTCACCACTAAAATTCACAAGTTGTGCTGTCCTATCAATTACATAAGTCAACTGGAGAACAGAAACAGTGCTGCATGGTTTATCTAAATAACAAGCACAGACTTAATGGTAAATATTCACCCTGAACTTTCCAAGAACATCTTGTAGCATAAAAAAATTTACTGCACAAATTCTCAGATAGTGATTTTAGATAATCGGTAAATGTAAGAATTTCACTGTGTTGCAAGAACAGTAAAAAAAAAAAAAAGATGAAATATACTGAATAAAGATTTTATTGTGAGTTATTTGCTCAGCTCTGCAGCAGCATCCATTTTTTCCCCCTATATAAAAATAATGAAGTCAATAAATGTGTTTAGGTGACTTCGGAGACTTACAAAAAGGATGTTATGAGATGGGTGAACGCTGGATGCAGTATTTCATTCAGATGCTGAACAGCTGTTGCGGTAGACAATGCTGGCATCCTGTTTTTCACCATTAATGCTCACTTAAATTGCTTTTTGATTGTGTATATATTCTACCATAGTGTGGGAATGTGAAAAAGACTCCTGACTTGTCCGCCATTCTGTCTCACCTGTCTGTGCAACTTTCTAATGTGTAATTAGAAATGGTGAGTCAGGAAGCTTGGTGGGCACTGTGAGGGATTGCATCCAGCTTTGTCCAGATGCTGCTGATAAGCAGCCTGCTGGATGCTTTTGGCCACAGCCTCTTTCTAGAGCCCATTGGGCTGATTGGGCCTAGTGCAGATAGCTAGGTACAATTTCCTTGTTCCCATGCACAAAAAAAAGTAAAGGGATGGCCCCTTGTGCTTTCCTTGGATGTATTCCTCCTAGGAAGTTACCTGCCTTGGTTCCTGTCTGGTCCTAAGTGCTGTGTGCACAGAAATTCGAAAAATACTTTACAAGGTGATTAACAAATTAGCACGTTAGGACCAATTCTTACACAGATTTAACATTTGTGGCAGTTGTGCATTTCTCCTTTGCAGGATGATGAAAACCAGGGGAATTTTGTGTTAACAATTAACAACATGAAGAGAATTCTGTGTTAGCTTGACAACATTTTCTCTCCATTTTCTCGGAGTTCAGTATTTATTTTCCTTCCAATCCAACAGCTGTTCAAGTGGAGGGGCACACCTTGTCAATTGCTGAACGACCTCCTTTGTAAATTGAGTGAGAGCGTGCGATTTGCCCTGGAGCATCTTTTGTAAGTAATTAGTGCAAATCAGTCAATAGATCTGTGTTAGCAGCACCTTAAAAATTGCACTAGTTTGGAAAATGTTGCAGTCTATTTTATGCTATCTCTTTTAAGTGCCATTGGTTTAAAATGTGAGAATAATTAACCATTTTTAAAAACAGATCAGTTGTACTTTTGATACAGATGGCTTTATGCATTTATGCAGCAGACTGCTGACACGGTAGGTACCTGCAGTCTTCCACTTATTAAGTATAAATGTACTTCTGAGGTATTTCCCCATTAACTACTTACACTGAAAAAACAAGGATATAGAATGATCCTTTTGACTTGCTCACTCTATGGGATGTTCCAGCAGCTCCACAGATTTTCTTCACACATGAATCGTCTGTTTTGCTGAGCTACAGCAACCCAAGAGGCAAGCCAAATGGAGGGGCTCTGATCTTATTATGGGGTGGGAGGGGAAGGGTTGAGCTGTATAGATGTGTTGGCTACCATGGGAGGCTGCTTGGGATCCCTGCCGAGGGATCTGTGAGTCCAAGGACCGGCTCTAATGTCCACTTTGGCATTTTAGGGTCACACATGGCTGTCAGACTCCATTGGCACTTCATCTTCTGTGGTGCAGTTTTTTCGTCTGCAAAGTACAGATGCTGAATTGCTCCAACCAGCTCTTTGCCCCTCACTGAATTCTTGCTAATGGAGTCAAGTCTTTTTTTTTTTTTTTTTTAATGGAGAGAGATATCATTTGAGTCCTCTGTCTTTGTCAGATTTTGTGGTTTTGCAACTTCATGGTTCTGATTCCTTTTCAATGCAGTCTGCCTTTCAGACCCTGGGGAGATGAACTCCAGTGAGTGTGCTGACATGAGGAGCGCTCTCAAAAGCACATCTAGAGGCCTCCACTCCTTCATATTCACATACCAGAGCCCACTTGTTTGTTGCTTGTATGAATAATTAAAAAAGAATTTTCAGTAGTTTAGAAAATTTAATCAAAACAGAAAATAATCTCAGATCCTGAATAATACTTGTTTGAAAATGGTGACCACTGTATGTCCATCACTCTGAGATGAGCCTGGCCTGCCTTTCTAGCTGTGTGTAGAACACAAGCTGTTTAGAGGACTAAAAGACAGTTTTTTAGGTTTTTTGTTGCTGTTGTTTTGTTGTTTTTTTTTAAGAACTGTAATTAAGCAATCATAACAGCCCTTTAAATAAATACAGCTTGCATTTACATTTTAACATGCACTTCTGGTATTTGTTTAATCCTTTTTCACCCCATCTGCAGCAGGCGTTCTGAATTCTGCCACTGCCATGACAGGAGCCTTTGGACTCAAGCTGCCATGGTGCCTGAAGTCATCACCAGGCTGGGAGAGGTGGGTTGAAACTGAAACGCCAAACGATTAGAGAGATGCAGTGTTCTACCCCACTCAGATCCAGATCTTGCAAAGCAATTAAAACTTAATTCTCATCAGAAATGGTGTACGTTCATCTCAGCTGTATAAAGTTCAGCGTTCCCCACAGTCAGGGACCTGGACTGGCTTTTCAGAGGAGCTCAGCAGGCACCAACCCTTGTTAAGAACAACAGGGTGCTGCTCAGGATTGAATGCCTTTGAACATCTGATCGTGTCGCTTTATTTATTTATGTAGATTTGTATATGCACAGATATATACAACATGCCCAGGAACAAGCATGCACACACACGACAGCTCTAGGGCCTGGATTTTCAAAGCATCCTAGGAGAATTCATCAAGAGATGGGTGCCTAATTAAAATTCATCTCCTTCCTGCCTTTGGCATAACTTAAACCTACAGCTAAAACCTAATACAAAGCATGACTCAGGGGCAGCAGCATAATTCAGTAAAACCCACAAGAAGCAAGCTAGGCAAATTAGCCTTCCTTTCACCAGCCCTACAGTTTCCCATTTCTTATTTGTGAGTATGGAAGGAAAATGACAAATGAATGCCAAGCCTGTAAAATACTGCCCGTAGGTGGGAGTCTGGGGTCGGGGGCTCTCTCTGCCATGTATGTACATACTCTCAGCAAAAAGAGTCTGACTGTTGTTGGGACTGCAGTGTGCTGTTGCATGGATGTGTGAAAACCATACCTGGGTTACAGAATACTTTCAGATACTTTGCACTGGAACTGCAAATCACAGTAGGAACAGTACATTGTCTCCCTTCATTACACTGCAAAGCAACTGACAGATTCCCCAGAATCCTGTCCTTTATCTCTATTTACAAAAAGAAAATCCTGCATCCTGAATGATGATTTACTAAACTGATAGTTTTTATAACAGAATGCAGTGCTGTTTACATTCTAGCCTTGGTCCCAGGGGGGAGGAGGGCACCCGAGCTCACTGCCTCGCATCTATTCTGTATCCAATACGGCTAATTTAAAGAGCCCACCAGAGGAGGAGATGGAAAATGTTCATCAGTAAAGCTTTTACATCACCATGAATCTCAAAATCCTTGTTGCATATGATATATCCTCATCGGGTAGTTTGGAGGAGTGTAGAAGGTGAATTTTGGTCCCTGGAGGCTGTTGTGGAGAAGCAGGGAGCCGAAGGCCCCTCTGTCTAACCAAGCTGAGAGCCAGGCTGGTTTGCAGCCTGAGACAGAATTGCTTCTCCAGCAGCTGAACAGTAAAAGAAAGTGGCTGCAAATACATTTTGCTGCAGGAGTGATTCTCTGTTTGTGTTTCTCTCAGAAGAGGCTGGCAGGACGGGGCCTCAGAGAGCACAGGAGAGGAGCTTTAATTCCTGTGTCTTGCTCAGATTTGGTCAGAAACCAGCACTGAGTTGTTCCTCCTGAGCTGGTGCGTGGATATGCTTGGGGCAGAAAGCTGTGCTCTGCAGTGGAGCAGGCAGGTGGCTGTGAGCCTGCTACCTCTGACCGGATGCATAGGACCCCTCGAAGGGGGTGAGAGCCCAACTCACCGTTTTGTGCTTTTGCTCCTGAGTTCTGCATGCATTTGACTCAACCTGAGGCAATGGACCCTGACACAGAATAGCTCAGAACCGCTTGGCCAAATGATTTGTTCTTTGGTTGCCAGCATCAGGCTGTAAGCTACTTTATGGAGTCAGAAAGAATGAATCCCAAAGCACTTTTGCTTCCCCAAACCAGTCAGGTTTGCTGCAGTTCTCTCGCTTATGCTTTTGGATGGTACTGACAGTGGAAAATGGATTTTTAATTAAAAAGAAAAGGTATTAACAAATACCTCACATCAAAGCAACTGGTCTCTACCCTAACTAACCCAGGCTGCTTGCCCCCGCCAGGCTTCTGGACAAACACACTTCACCACTGTGATCTTAAGAGGCTGTAGTATCTTTCAGACAAGCTCATTCCTTAGACTTAATTAAAACCTAGTTCACTCCTTTATTCAATTTATGAGGCCTAGCCAGTAGGATTAAGCGATTACAGGCAAAAAGCCCCATTTGTGAAACACTCATAAGCTCAAGCTGCTAGACTGCTCAGTTGTACTCCATTAAATTAATAAGGAATGAATAGACTGATCCATTATGAATAAAGCTGTGGGGAGCCTCAGCATTGCCTCAGACTCTCTGCACACTCCTTAGAGAACATTTGTGCAAAATGATTATGTTCATATTCATTCAATTGGAATTCTATAAAAGTGGAATGCATAAATTACTCTAAAGATGGGGAGTTTATCTTAAACATTAACTATGTGTGTGAATTAATAAGACTATTATAAAACCATTAGCATTCAGTGTATTTACCTACGTATGCTGCATACCTAAACTAAATTCAACAATTGTTCCTAATTGCTATTCTTGTTGTGTGATCAAGCTGTGGCTCATTTTCCCTTGTAGTTCTAATATTTATGAATTAGATTTTCTTTCAAAACTTCTGAATGCACCTTTCCTGCCCAGGCTTTCATTTGCTCCTAAGTTTTTCAGAATGTCATAAAACGCTGGACTGGATCGTATTGATAAACAGAAGATCAACAGATGCATGCATGCAGATGTGTTAAAGGACAACACTGAATAGTGAACATACATGCTCAAAACAAAACCTTTGTCTTTTATAAGGCACCAGATGGGCAAGAAGGCTACAGCTTCTGCAGGACCCGGAAGAAATGTCCAGATCCAGAGGGTGAGGAATTCATCTACCAGCCTCTCAGGTTGTGAATGTGCAGTCTGTTTCTTCGGGAAGAGCCCCAAGTGACAGGTAAGAAAAGGAACACAAAAACACAAAACAAAAGTAGGGTGGGTTGGTTAAAAAGAAAGCACAACAGTTTTTAGAGATTAATCCAGGTGTGTGTGATGATAAGTAGGAGTGCTGCAGGAGGAGGGAAGGGCTCAGGGCTGAGCTGCCTGGGGGAGATGCTTTGAGCAGATGACTTCTCCTCCTGTCGTTTTTCTTCCTTTCTGCCTTTTGAGATTTGCTCTGTTGGTTCAGGTGAAGTAGTGGATCCTGTGGGATTAGCGAGTTGATTTGCCAGGGGTCAGGCTGAAGCCAAAAGCCCTGCATTGCTAGGACTGATTCAGTATGTGAAATGGCAATGAGGGATACCTAAGCATGGTATTATTTTCAATGCTGTTCCTGAGCAGAGCAAGGAAGTTGCGTGTTAACATAGGTTAGCTAGCACATCTGACCTTCATTGTTCCCAGTGGAAGCAGTGACAATCTATTAGTCCTCCACAAGGAATATCACTGTCTCACAGCAGCTCTGAAAATCCCCCCAGGACACTCCTGGAACAACAATAATTCAGCAAGAGTTCACACAACGTTAGGGCTCTGTGAAATGTTTGTAACAAATCTCGCCTGGATTGAGAGGGGGATATGGTAGGAAGGGGGGGCGGGGATCTGTTTGAGAGGAGGCACAGACATTTCTAACAAGGCTGACCAGGTGGGAATTTTGCAGTAGGAAAATTGTGCTTATGCTCTTGACATGAAATAGCCAAATAGATAAAAGAAGGTGGAAATCAGGTTTTTAGCCTAATCTTGCTTCTGAAGTAGAGTATCAACCTCAAAATCTGCATTTTAAAATGAAAGATGAAGAATTTAAGCTAGAAACTAAGAAGGCAAGAAAGAGCCAGCTGAGCTCTCAGGAAATGGAGTGATAGAGTTTTAATACAGCATGTAGAAAGACTATTTGAATCAAGGTATGATTGCTCTTGATACCAAAATAATACTGTGTATGGATAAGTAAACTTGTAGAAGATTTTGACGCATGAAATGTCTGCTGAAATCTTTTCACCAATGTGCTTATGGAATAAAAAGGGTATGAGTAAAGAAATTCTTAGGTTGGCTACTGGGTTGCTTAGACTTTATCTTCTCATCTTCAGTTACGATATCCTTTAGAACACATTTTGTCTTTTAAATATTCCTATATCCTTTAGCATGCAGCATGCTTGCGTTTTGTGTCCTAAACTGGAGCACAGGCTATTAGTGCTTGCAGTGAGGAGACAGATGCCTCGATGTGGGTGTCCTGATCCAGCACTTTGGGATTAAGTAGAGATACAGCGTGGTCTGTGTTCAGGGCTAACCTCTAACTTGCTGTTTTGGAGATCTTTCGATTGGGAGGCCTATCTCAAGGCGCAGAGTTACTTGATGTCACTAGGGCCTCTGGGTGGCTTAATCCAGGCTTGATAGGATTAATAAACGAATTCTTGACTGAGCCTGCATGTGAAGGCTGTATTGGAGAAAGGCTTATTCTTTGGCCCAACTCCAGGAGAAACTAATCATCATGAACTTCATGCAGATTTACGATTATTCTTGCAATAGAAAGGGTTCGGCCAGCACACTGGCAATAATGAAAAGACTGCAGAAAAGAACAAAGCCAAACATACACAGGACAAACATGGTATATAGGTTTGTTTCCTTGAAATCCTTTGGATTTTCACGGAGAACTGATGTAGGAGTGCTATCATGTATTAAACCTGATAGAATCGTTATGCTCATCTCAACTCCAGGAGACAGAAATATCATGCAGCATTATTTTTTCAAGAGAGATGATATCACTAAATGAAGTGATAAGAAAGAAAGTTACTGTAGTAGTATGAAATATGTCCACTGGCTGCCATCAGCACAGTAATCTTTTATGTTCAAACTATTACTCAAAGTACGGATTATTCAAATGCTGTTCTTCTGTGACATTCTTTTGGATGATCTCTGGGTGCCTGTACAAGTCAGTGAAAAAAATGCTATCATTTCTGGTTGCTCCTTAAAAAAGTGGTAGTGAAATAATGTATCTATTACATTTCAGTACACACATCTATATACATATTGCAAATACAGTATTATAGAAAGGATTTTAAAAGATGCTATTTAATTATCAAATTTCTAATTTAAAAAAAAAATGAAAAACTCATCCAGAATTTTAAGCTTTCTTCTTTTTCTTTCTTTTTTTTTTTTTCTTTTCTTTTTCATTTTTGTTACTTAAAGAGGGTTGGAAAAGGTTTTGCAATCTATTTTCAACACTGGGTTTTTAGGTATGCATGGATTTGTTAGATTATCTCCTACTTGTAGGATTTTCTTAAATAAGGCTGTGGAAGAGTCATTAACATGAAAACCAAAGCTCTTTCACTTTGGTTGCAAGCTTTTTGCTTTTTTTTTTTCTTCAGTACTAAATTTTTCACATTAAAACATGATTTTCCTGCCTCTTACACAAAAAGGACATAATGGGTGGACAGAGGCTGTAGAATTCTTTCTTTATTTACAGCAGCAGACCAGTGGTTTATAAGATCCAGTATCTATCTCAAAAGAAGATTAAAATCACTTGGCCAGCCAGGCAGCACAAGATGGCAACAATTCTTCTGTGATCCTTGCAAGTGATTAGTGTATTTCTAGTACCATGGGGACTGTTAATCCTTGTGACTTAAACTAAGTAGTGTAACTACAGATGTTACTACTTTGTAGATTCTGCATTATTTGGATCTCATTAATGTGTGACATGGTTTATGAGCTACATGATATGTGGTGTGTGAATGGGTATACAAGGACGGGGTGCCTCCCACTTGGGGGGCTGTATAAAGGCTGATTTCATTTTGTGTACATGCTGTATGGGTGAGCATAAATCTTAACTCTGGAGAGTCAAGAAACTGCTCGCTACTTGCCTGTCCTTGCCTGAGAGGCTAAATGGAATGCATGGTTAAAGCACAGCAGGAGCTGAGAATATGTTACTAGGTTATCCTATTTATTGGAAGACACCAATGTGGTCATGCTCTGGGCACGGGGCACCCCTTCTCTCCTGCAAAAGCACTTGTACCAGTGCTGATAGGGGATACTGCATTCTGTGTACTCCTAAGTGTTTGTGATGATACTGAATAACAACAGGTTGAGGGGAAGTTGCTTACTAATGCACAGTGGAAGAGGGTGGGGTCATCTTAAAACAAGGTAACCAGGACTCTCCACCCTGTGTTCAGTGAGATGCTACCATGACGTGTCTGTTAGGCTTTGTACTGCTTGTGCCTCCTTGTTCTCCCTTACACTGACAGCTGGGGCAAGTCTCCAGGTCTCAGTTCTGTTTGATTGAGATTGAAAATAGCAATTTAATTTAATTCCTCCGCTGTAGACAGCATGGTAGTAGACAGCATGGTAGTATTGATGATCCTGTCCTGGATATCATTTCTCCTTGACGTGAAGTCTAATATCTTTGAAAGACAGATTTGATAAATGATGACAGCAGATACCATGGATAATACCCACATGAGTATATATGTTCCAGAATATCGTTTTTCACACGTTTTGCTGATATTTATGAATTTTGTGTGCTCAGAACCACTACTAGCACTATGACATGGAGACGTAAGCAGCCACTGTATGTGGAAATGATGAGTTGTTTCCTCTTATGTTCTAGATAGGTGTTTGCTTGACGGCTTTTCATGGGAAATGAAGCAAGGAGATGTTCCTAGTGGTGAGAGAAAGAGAAAGGTGTCACCTCCTGTAACCTTTTTGGGCACTGTGGATCACTTGTTTTTCTTAAGATGCTGTGGTAATACATTCCTGTTCATCTTCCATGAAGAGATTCCTTCCTTGTCTCAGTGAAGCAACAGGTAATGATATGGATGCACTGAATATATTTGATTTGCCTTCAGATATTCACATTCCAGTGTAAACATATCATATAGCTATCTTCCCCCTTGAAAACAAGCAGAATATCAAAAAATAGCACCACCCATGTGTTTACATCACAGGAGTCATAATGAGGAAACTTAAGTAGTAACGTTTGCTTTCTGAGATGTATGCATTTAAGTATATTATTAGTCTGGAATCTATGGGAGGCATAGAAGCTCAAATCTAGTGGGATGAGCCCTTTTCCTAATGATGATCCTTGGAGTGCAGTCTGAAATTGAGATGGAAGAAGATGTATTTAGGGTGCAAGGAGGCAGTAGGGTTGTCCCAGGAGCTGGCACTGTTTTCTTTGTAACATTCACCATAGCGCTTGCTGAAAAACGGATCAGCAGGAAGAGGGTATTGACCCCTTTGATTCGAAAGTGGGTCCTGAATGGGTCTTCTGATAGATTGAATACTCTGTTAAAAAGTAATTCCCGTGAAAGCATAATGCTGCCAAGGTAGAGAAAGGGATAAAGGTCGACTTGGTAATAAATGATAGATATATAATAGTCTAGGAAGATGTGCTAAGATTTTCCAAAGTTTGAAGGGGGATAATTGGTCTGTTAGGTAATTTTCCATTTCTTGTAATATCTTGCCTTTTTTTTTTTTTTTTTTTTTTTTTTGCCTATTTGCCCTCTCTTTACGTGTTACATTTTGGCCAATTTCCCTGAAAAGCTTGATAGAGACTCATTATGTACTACAGGATTGCAAACAGAGTAACCATATAACAATGACTTTCCAGTTTCCATTGCATCTCACTCTGACTCCCTGCAGTACCAGTGGGATTAGGCTTGGTACCATGCGATGCCAGTCCCAGTATGCTGCTGTTCTGTTGTCCCATGCTGTATAGTGGATCAGTGGATGAAGCTACACTATCTCTTCTGGTCTGCAAGCATGTAATTCCGAAGAGCAGTATCCCCCAAAGGATAATAAGCTCTTTAATAACAGTAATGTAGCAACCACAATCATGAAAAAAGTGATTATATTCTACATAAAAATATAAAAGCTCATTTGATTCTGAGGTCCCCAGTGGCACATTACCTGGACTTTTATTTAAAATATAACATCTCTGACTTATATCTTATTCAGGTCCTTTGTTAACACTAATAT